ACGAATACATCTACAATAGGGATGTATGCACTATATTTAGATACGATTCAAATATTACTGGTAACAAGTATTGAAACCAGTAATAATAATGTTATAGTAGAATCGTCTAGATCTATGTTGGCTAAATGCCAAAAATATATCAATATTATGGACAATTTCGAAATATATGTGTGTAGTTTTCTTGATCCACGTATCAAGAAAACATTCATACCTTATGGATGAACAAAGAATGTTATTATGAAAAATTGATTGCTTTATATGGTAAATACCGGTGTAATATATCGCCAGAAATATCAGAAAAAGACGATAATTGTGAAATGATGTCAATAACTATCTTAAATAGTCTGAGAAGGTATATATTTAATATTCTATAACTATTTTAAATTTTCTCAAAGTTGATATATTTAATTTTAATAATTTATTTTATATTTTTAGGAAAGCCTCGTTAGTTCCAATGGTGAACGAGTATCGCCGAATACCTAGCTGATCCAGTAGTCTCAGCAACGACTACAGTGTTGGATTGGTGGAGCTGTAATTCTGAGCGTTTTCCGTACCTTTGCATGATGGCTAAAGATTTTTTGTCGCAGCAAAGTACATCCGTTGAGAGCGAGCGTGTCTTCTCAAGAGGGGTGGACACCTTAACAAAGAAAAGAAATCGCATGGCCTCCGAAACACTTAAACAGTGTTTATGTTTAAATTCATGGGATATCAATATCATGAATAATAAATTTTATACATAATTTTTATATCTATATATATTGTTAAATTAAATTTTTTGTACATTAATAAATATATATAATTTAAATAAAAATATTTAAACTATAAATGTATCAAATATTTAAGATGTTTTGAGCTTACTATTCTTGTTTCAGGCTGTTGTTTTTTATGAATACTGTAGAATATTAGTGTTTTAATATTATTTGACTTTAAATTGATAACTAAAATAGTTTTTGATATTAAGATTTAGAATTTTGAACACTTGAGAAAAATTACACATTAAAATTGATACTGGGATTAACTTTGAACCATGTTATAAAGCGCTATACTTTTTTTCAGGCGTTAATTATTCACTATTTTATTAAGAAGAATATTATGAGAGCAATTTTTCTCATAGATTATATAAAGGTATAGATATCTATTATCGTAATTTCAGGATTAGTCAATATTTTTCTTGCTAAATAGGCTTAAAACGAGAGATTTTAAATATTAAATGCATATAAAAATTATTAAGATATATTTATAATTAATTCTAAAATCTTAATCCTTTAAATTAATATTTAGAAATTTACACAATCTAGTTTCCAATATAATTTAAAATGTCATCGATAGAGATTGATATAAAAGATATTGGTGCAGATAATTTATACAAAGTTATTTCTCTGTACAATGATATGTAATTTCCTTCATGAGATATCGCATAAAATTTATTCTCGAAAAAAAAACAAGGTATAAATATCATTGTAAGATGTGCCAAGTAAATTTTATCCTAACTAGAAACTTCAAAGAGGAAATATTTTAATATCCTTAAACTTAAAAATATAATATGAATAAAACATAGATGAGTTTATGTGATAGTTGATTTTCTGACCCAGTCTATGACAATAACATATTTAAGAATTTTTTTATAAATTAAAATTACAAGAAATATATTAGCATCTCATTTTATCACTCAAAAATTATTATGTACCTTACTACTCGTATATATAATAACATTTTTTGTCCCTTATCTATGATACATCCTCACTGATATTTTAATTTAACATGTTTAGGATATATATCTTTAGCTATTTTCTTTAAAAAATGTTAAAAATAGCGATTATGAAAATTGTCACCTATCTATGATACATCCTAACTTAATTTTTAATTTAACATGTTTAGAATATATATTTTTAGCTATTTTCTTTAAAAAATGTTAAAAATAGCGATTATGAAAATTGTCACCTATCTATGATACATCCTCTTAAATTTTTAATTTAACATGTTTAGAATATATATTTTTAGCTATTTCCTTTAAAAAAATTTGAAAAAGTTCAAAAATAGCGATTATGACAATTGTCACCTATATGATACATCCTCACTGAATTTTTAATTTAACATGTTTAGAATATATATTTTTAGCTATTTCCTTTAAAAAAATTTGAAAAAATTCAAAAATAGCGATTATGACAATTGTCACCTATCTATGATACATCATCACTGAATTTTTAATTTAATATGTTTAGAATATATATTTTTAGCTATTTACTTTAAAAAATTGAAAAAAGTTCAAAAATAACGATTATGACAATTGTCACCTATCTATGATACATCCTCACTGAATTTTTATTTTACATGTTTAGAATATATAATTTTAGCTATTTCCTTTAAAAAAATTTGAAAAAGTTCAAAAATAGCGATTATGACAATTGTCACCTATCTATGATACATCATCACTGAATTTTTAATTTAACATGTTTAGTATATATATTTTCAGATATTTCCTTTAAAAAAAATTAAAAAAGTTCAAAAATAGCGATTATGACAATTGTCACCTATCTATGATATATCTTCACTGAATTTTTAATTTAACATGTTTAGAATATATATTTTTAGATATTTCCTTTAAAAAAATTTGAAAAAGTTCAAAAATAGCGATTATGACAATTGTCACCTATATATGATACATCCTCACTGAATTTTTAATTTAACATGTTTAGAATATATATTTTTAGCTATTTCCTTTAAAAATATTTGAAAAAATTCAAAAATAGCGATTATGACAATTGTCACCTATCTATGATACATCATCACTGAATTTTTAATTTAACATGTTTAAAATATATAATTTTAGCTATTTCCTTTAAAAAAATTTGAAAAAGTTCAAAAATAGCGATTATGACAATTGTCACCTATCTATGATACATCATCACTGAATTTTTAATTTAACATGTTTAGAATATATATTTTTAGATATTTCCTTTAAAAAAATTTGAAAAATTTCAAAAATAGCGATTATGACAATTGTCACCTATCTATGATACATCATCACTGAATTTTTAATTTAACATGTTTAAAATATATAATTTTAGCTATTTCCTTTAAAAAAATTTGAAAAGTTCAAAAATAGCGATTATGACAATTGTCACCTATCTATGATACATCATCACTGAATTTTTAATTTAACATGTTTAGAATATATATTTTTAGATATTTCCTTTAAAAAAATTTGAAAAAGTTCAAAAATAGCGATTATGACAATTGTCACCTATATATGATACATCCTCACTGAATTTTTAATTTAACATGTTTAGAATATATATTTTTAGCTATTTCCTTTAAAAAATTTTGAAAAAGTTCAAAAATAGCGATTATGACAATTGTCACCTATATATGATACATCCTCACTGAATTTTTAATTTAACATGTTTAGAATATATATTTTTAGCTATTTCCTTTAAAAAAATTGAAAAAAGTTCAAAAATAACGATTATGACAATTGTCTATGATACATCCTCACTGAATTTTTAATTCAACATGTTTAGAATATATATTTTTAGCTATTTCCTTTAAAAAAATTTGAAAAAGTTCAAAAATAGCGATATGACAATTGTCACCTATCTATGATACATCCTCACAAATTTTAAATTTAACATGTTTAGAATATATATTTTTAGCTATTTGCTTTAAAAATTTGAAAAAAGTTCAAAAATAACGATTATGACAATTGTCACCTATCTATGATACATCCTCACTGAATTTTTAATTCAACATGTTTAGAATATATATTTTTAGCAATTTGCTTTAAAAAAACTCAAAAAAGTTCAAAAATGGCGATTATGACAATTGTCACTTATCTATGGTACATCTTCACTGAAATTTTGATTTAACATGTCTACAATATATATTTTCATCTATTTCATTTAAAAAAGTTCAAAAATAAGCATCATAACAAATGGCTCTTTTCTATGGTGCATCTTCACTTAAAAATTTTAAAAAATAACTATGATGAATAGTTAATCCAGAGCATTATAATTTAAAGAAGCTTTAAGTAACTTTCCCGCCTATAATATTAATATATACTAAATGTTATTTGACTTTTGGTCAAAAAAAATGATCTAGATATTGGGTTAAGGGTGAAAAAAAGCAACCCTAACTTTAAGTCGTCTTTAAAAAGAAAGATTCATATTTTGAGTCGGATTGAATAAAACGACCCGATGTTTGAGTCTGAGTCAGATAAACGACCCAAACTTTGAGTTATAGTCGAAAAATACGACCCAAACTTCAAGTTTGAGTCGAAAAATACGACCCAAACTTCAAGTTTTAGTCGAAAAATACGACCCAAACTTCAAGTTTTAGTCGAAAAATACGACCCAAACTTCAAGTTTTAGTCGAAAAATACACCCAAACTTCAAGTTTTAGTCGAAAAATACGACCCAAACTTCAAGTTTGAGTCGAAAAATACGACCCAAATTTCAAGTTTGAGTCGAAAAATACAACCCAAATTTTGAGTCGGAGTCGTAAAAAACGACCCATATTTTGGGTCGAGGTCGTTTTTTTCGGCTTGGACTTGGGTCGGAGTCGAAAAAAACGACCCATATTTTGGGTCGAAGTCATTTTTTTCGGCTTGAACTCGGGTCGAAGTCGTAAAAAACGACCAAAACTTTGAGTTAGAGTCGAAAAAAACGACCCAAAATTTGGGTGAGCTGCGTTCGAGCCGACTCGGCTAAGCCGATTAACAACACTACTTGTGCCACCTATGAGTAAGATATCCTGGCTTGAGAAATATTTTTTTGGATAAAATATCGAGTTAGCCGTTTTTAAAAATCGGCTAAAATGGAACCTTAATAACACTAAAAGAAGGTTCTGGATTATATTAATGTATAGAAAGTTGATAATTTTTTTCAGTAAAGTTAAGTCTCAATAGAGTAGCCATTTCCTATATAATATCCAAGTAAACATTTAGACATGTTGATCATTGAATAAAAAATATGTAAGATATATTTTGCAACCTTATAATAGGATTTGATACATGTTCCCATTGAATTCGCATCCTTAGGATCCTTTAAATCACACATCAATCCTTTATCACATTTACCAAGGTAATTATAAATCCCTCCACATACTTCCCCTTTTACCTAAGTTTATATTATATATAAGTAATATATTTAAAAAAAAAATTAATAATTTAAATTGAATAGAATATAGTCATTGTAAAACTAATTATAAAAGGAGTTAAAAAATTGACTTATTTCATTTACATAAAAGAAAAATCCACCTTCTTTTAAAATTCTTTTCTTACATACTTCCTACTTTTTTCCATTTCTTTTCTATAAATTTCCTTCTTCTTGCCAATAAATTATAACTTTCTTACTTTTGCGCAAATCTTGCAGCAATCGCAGACATCCTTAACGAGACCTCCTGTACAATTAGAGGGAGGATCGACACATTTAGTAAAGAGTGTCTTACATGGACGACACGATAATGCATCCACTCTAAAAAAAATATATAATCATACTTTTATTTTTAATTTTCGTAACATTTATTTAAACATCTTTTCTAAATTATATATGTTAGCATCAATAGGTTTTTTTCCGGCACATTGTGTTATTTTTTCAACTTTAAATCATTTTTTGAACGTGTTTTTTAAATTTAAGAATCGGATATTACCGATGTTTAGAATATCTATCTTATGAATTGTGGATAATTTTGCCATTAATCTTTGATGCATTTATAATTTATATAAAAAAAATCTATGAAAAAACTAATATAAATTATATCAAGTAAAGTTTAACGCAAAATTGTTTGATATTTAATAGGGTGGGTATAGCAAACATGATAGAATTCATTTCCGGTAAAATCAAATTTTTAAATTTAAAAAAACCGCGCTCATAAATTGATTAAAAGTTGCAAAAGTAAAAAAAAAACACATTGACGCGAAGTAAGTATATATTAAAAACATTTTAAAATTAAAATATGCTGAAAATAAATGAAAGGAATTTTTAAGCAACGAAATCCTCTAAAAATTTATAAATAAATATGGATTATAAAATAAATGCGCTTTTTCCTTTTATTTTTTTTTAACCCTTACACAGTTCTATCCAAAATAGATTAGATCTAACAGAAAGTTTACTAAAAAAAACGGCTTTGCATGTAGCTTTAAATAAAAGGTAATAATTTATACTTGATTTTTAAAAAAATACAGAATATGAATATATAGAATAGATCCTTACTTAAAAACATTATTTTTTTGAAGAAAAATAAAATATGTCTAATAATTTATAGCTTTTCGCTTTAAATAAATGGATGATGCGTTGAATGACTCGTGTAATATGTATGTTATATGTCGCTAGATTTTTCATCTATTGAAATGATTGGAAAGATTATTGATACGTGTTAATACTATTTTTCGTTTAAATTATATAATTTTTATATTGATACCTTTTGTATTTTAGTATAAATTTAACACATATTTTTAAAATTTATTATATAAGTTATTATCCTATATCAGTCATATTAAAATAAAAAGATTTTTTTAGGTACCCTTAATTACAACCTACATACTTTTTTTTATCATTCATCATGTCTCCCATTGTACGTTTCGTAAGTCTACGACAATCTCATCCCAACTTTTTTTATTTGGGCTTCCATTCTTTCAAATTATAATCTCCCTATTTCTTTTCAAATTTATTATATCTCCCTTCTAACTCCATGACCAAACTAACAACATATTTTCCCACGTCTTGGCCTGAATTTGAGTTATTATCAAAATCAATGATTCCCTAATGACAACATTTCTCACAATCCTATTCATAGATTTATCCAGCAACGGTAATCACGATTGCGACATACAATAATAGGTTAGTGATAAGTGCATAGCCGCCTTACTACCATGAATAATAAGTGAGATCTTAGTTTTATGATATCAAAGAAGAGAATGGACAATAATCATCATAATTTAATAACTTTATTCATTTTATTTGCTAAAAATATTAAATTTGAAAAACTTACATTCGATATCAATATCATTATCAATCTTATCATTTGGTTTATTAGGTAATATGCTCTTTTTACCAATAAATTCCTGGCTATGATTTGATTTATAAATATTATTTTTTTGTTTAATTTATTTTTTCTACCCTCTCAAACCGACTATAAATATAACATTATGTATTAATCTTGAGGATCAGTCAACATTTTTTACAGTCTGTGAGGAGTCGATTGTTTCAATATTTGCATTTGTTGTGAAAGTATCTGTCATTGATTTTAATTTCCCTCTTGATGCATGGGTTCAGTCTTAGTTTTTTATATGAGGATGTACTTGTAAAGGTCAAATCCATTATAGTAACTAGTGCTTCGAAGCAAAGTCTTCTTATGAGAGGACTTTACAAACTATTACATCAATAAGTTTTTTAACCTTATATTAGGATAAAAATTTAAAATAAGAAATGAATTGCAAACATATGATATATTGAGAATCTGAGAATCGCGTCAGTAAGTATCATGTGTAAATTAAAAAAAAATAGGGTATCATAGTTCAAGATTTTTTAAGCCTGGGCTAAACAGAAATAAGTTTCAAAAATAGAACTAACCGGAGACAGCTCTATACTGATTAAAAAATAACATATATAAAAACCAATTAAATTTATAAACCATATTTTAATAAAACAAATGTAGCCGAAAAAATTAAATTTATAATAAGAAAAAGCGAAACCCCAGCAATTTAGGTTGATTGTAAAATTTTAAAAGATTCCCAATCCCCATTGATTTGAGAATTATTTATTACCAACCCTGTATTGCATGTACTATGTTAGAATAATTTTTTTTTGGCAAACTAGATTTTTTATTTCTCTAGATACTATTGATAATCTCATGGATCACTTTTTTAAAAAAAATTCTAAATTTCTTAGAAGATGAACGGTATGTGGATTTAAATACACATTATGCAATTAAGGATACAAATTTCAATTATTTCCACAATAATTTTTATTGTACTTTAAACTATAAATATATAAAATTTTATTTAAATACAACAAATATTAAAGGTTTAAACATTTTAATTTTCATGAAAATCTATAAAACAATTATTTGTGGGCGTAAAACATAAATATACACCACATTTTTTGCAAGATACTTTTGTTATAAATAAGCATCCTGGCATTTTACATCTACCCTTCTTATCATTATATTTTGGCCAATGAGCCGTGAGGTCTTTCCTAACGTCTTCAAGTGGTAAATATTGGGCTGGTACTTTTTTACATTTTTCCCGATAACCAGTTTGAAATGATTTTCGTTTTGGTATATTGTTTGAAGTGCATTTGCCATATTTGCAAAGGACTTCCGCCACTGAATTTTTTTATTGTACAAACTTAATCGATCCTTGCGTGCTATTGATATACTATTACAATCACGTTTATATAGCAACCATGAATTTATAAGTAACATGTCAAACATATGAAATAAAATTCTATGGTACCATTTTCTTGATTTCGTATGAATTCTATATAAGGAAAGTAAAGAATCCATGAGATCTACACCTCCCATTGATTTATTATATATTTTAACAATATTTGGACATTTTATCATGATTTTTTCCTTTTTTTCCTATCATATCTTTCACAGTCTATTAGAGGATGTGCACCTACAAAAGTGCTTAATAAAGTCACAGCACGATTGTCGTGCCACTTCACTGAATTTAGCTCCACTCCGTTTATTATTGTTTTTTTTGAAACAAAAAATCCTCGCCTTTTTTTTAAACTCCTTATCTGTTGGGAAGTTTATATTTGGAAGTCGATTACCTCTGACTGTGGCCGCGCAAAATATCCCTCTTTGAGCGAGTACGACTAGCAAATTTGGGGAACAAAACCAGTTATCAAAAAATAATTTATAATTAATTTGCTGCGGTACATAAGAAATTAAACGGAGCACAGCATTGCCACTTGCTCCAACATCAGGCAATCCTTCTGCTGCTAGTATTTTCCCATAATATATTTCAAAATTATGCAGAAGGCCATCATCTCCGCATAGTAGAAATACTTTATAGCCCCATTTTTTGGGCTTTTGAGGGATATATTGTTTCAACCTGCTTATCCCTTTGTATGAAATAATTTGCTCATCTACGCAAATGTTTTCGTTTATCGATAAAGATTTTAGTATGTTATTGGTTAGAGTTATTAGGGGTCTAATTTTATGTAGTGGGTCATGGCCTTCACTTCCACGTGGAATTCCAAACTATTTTTCTGCTAGTGTTTTCTTTTTCATTATTGATATTTTCTTTTTCTTCCGAATCATCTGTCTCATTGTAATCTATATATTTATAGATTATATAAGAGCATAAATTTTAAATATACCTAAATCATTATTTTGTGTTGATAGAAACTCCTCATCAGACGTTTCACTTAAATTTGAATCTTCACTATCATTAGATATGTCACCACAATTCATAATTCTTAAAATATAAAACTCAAATAAAATACCTTATTTGCATATTGTGTCTTTAAAACCACGTATGATTATTACAAAATATAATTATCAAAAATAATAAATATATATAAAATAATTTCATAAACATTTATTTTTACCTTTTATTCATCTAATTTTAATGTTTTGAAATTTGTCAAATATATTATTTTTCCTCTTCCGATGGGTAGAAAATTGAGAAGAAAAATTTTATAAAAAAATAGCCATTTTTAAAAATAGGGTTTATTAAAATGCGAAATTAAAAATAAATAATAGATCACGTGGCCCAAATTAAAATTCCATTCGAAGAAGAATATGGCTTCAAATACACACCATGCAATTGATTTAAAATTTATTTATAAGATATTTATTATACAATTTGTAGTATGTGGAATGAGATACACAGTATGCAATACAGGGTTAAAATAATGAGAGCATTATAGGTCTATGAGTCTATTGGTAAGTATTGGGATGAAAATTAAAATTCGAAAGATAATATTTTATATATTAATCAATATGCATAAATACATAAAAAAAAATTGTATTTAATATAATTCTTGGACATTTTATTAACGACTAATTATTAATTTCATTGCAAAATAAATCCATATTTAAATATTTTAAAAATTTTTTAACATTAAAGTGAATCCACAAATTTTTGATAGGCTCATATCTTTCTCCGATAATTTTTTTTAAAATAATGTATTTTTTATTGGACACATATATTTTCTTAGTGTGGTAAAATTTTATATAAAACGTCCTATGGAAACTCTTATGTGTATCCAGTGACCCCTACAACGGGGGGGGGGGGTCCGAAGCAACTGCTTCTATAAATTTCTATGGGGGTACTTTTTTATTTTTTTTTTAAAAAATTTTTTATGGTCGATGTTTAGCAAATTAGTTTGTTATCCGATATTTCTTATCATAAAATTATTTTTCCATTTTCAAGATTTGGCGCAAAATTAAAATTTTATCAAAGGGAATAGTGAAAATTTAAATATTAAATCTTATATATAATCATTTATAATTTTTAGATCATTGTCAAAATATGCCCAAAAATATTAACCAAAAAAAATATAAATGCTTGATTAAAAATTGTACATATCATAATATAAGAGATGATAAATGGACAGATCATATTAGAAAAAGACATGGTGGGCTTAATTTTCACGATATAAAGAAAAGCTTTGAAATAGTGGCTTTTAAGAATATTTCTCAAAATTGGACAAATAGCAAAGTAATTTTTTTTATTAAATATTTAATTGTTTATACTTATTTATAAAGGGTATTAAAACACAATTGGAAAAAGAAGTAAAAATTGGCAAATCAATGCTGTTGGTATAATAAATATTTTTATTAATATGATTATTTTTTTAAAAGTGTACTAATAATGAAAATATGTTAGAAGAAAATATTATATCTGACTCTGATAATGATCATAAAATTGGTGAACAAGAAGTTATTTTATTATTCTTATTTTTTATCTACTCTAATATTTTTTATAGGCAGACATAGAGCAGAGATTTGACAATGATGAAGAACAAGTAATACCTATTATCTCTCTACTGGTAATAAATATTAATTTATCTTTAAATTTTAATGAATACAACAGGAAGAAAAAGAACTTACATTCATTAAAATTAATCTGAGTATGGCTATGGAACAAGAACAAGGTGAAGAACCACAACCAAAATTTTTATTAAAACACAAAAGTAATACCATAAAGAATTATTTTCAAGTACAACATTTAAAAAAATATTTATTATTAGATTATATTTGTTTTAAAATTAATAGGCAAAAGATATTATTTAAAAGATACTTCAATGTCAATGTCTACTCATTCTTTTTCAGCTAAAGAAAAAGTTCAAGAAAAACAAGTAATATAATATTTAAATAAATATAAATTTATAATTATTATCATGTCAAAGATAAATATTATGGACACTACTACAGTTACAGAAGAGGATCAACATCAAGAAGAGATGCCATCTGGATCTGGTGTTGTGGGATTGATAATAATGGAGAATAATGAGTTATCAAGATCAGCAAAAGAAGTTACCCCGATTTAATGTGAAATATGTTATGTTTATTTTATCTTCCCTCCCCCTCCCTTTTCTTAGAAATCAAATGATCTCATCAATATTGTTGGAAAAAGAATTGACAAATTTATAATTGATAAATATCTAGAATTAGGAGCTCTCCAACCTAAACATTATTTATTCCCCAAGGATATTAATAATAGAAACAGATCCTTTAATGAAAGTTTTTATGAGAAAACTAATATTGACAAGAGCAAAGTTGCTAGAAATTGGATTACATATAGTATTAAAAAGAATAAAGTTTTTTGCTTAGGTCCACACTCAAATTCAAAATGGACATGTGAAGGTCTTAATATATGGTAAAATATTAATCGTGATATTATTGTGCATGAATCTTCACAGGCACATATGATGGCCGATTATGGAAGGCTTTCTCACAATAAAAATTCCATATTACAATTTATAATACCCCAAAAGGAATGTGTCGATAATAACCGTTATATCGTTAGATTAATAATAAGATGCCTAGGATATTTAATATCTCGCAATCAAGCCTTCTGAAGGAACAGGCAACAAGATGGCAATATGATGAGCCTTATTAACTTATTGCATATTCTGAGCCTGTTCTTAAAATGTATATACAAGATAATGAAGAAAGAAGAAGTGAGAAAAAAATTAATGGATTAAAATCTAAATTATATTAAAATCTGTTATCATATAATAATATAAATATTCTTATTGAAATAATGAAAAATATGGTTATAAAAAAAATTCAAAAGGAGATTGAATTCAACAGGTGCTATTCAATTATAGTTGATGGCACATATGATGTATCGAAATCAGAAGCAATAGCTTTGATAGTGAGATATGTTGAAAATAGCGAGACACCTAAGCCCGTTGAAAGGCTGATAGACATTTATTGTACGGGAAATACAACGGGCCTCGATATTAAAAAGAATATAATATCCAAGCTTGGCTCCATGAATCTACCCCTCGAATTCCTAGTGGGGCAAAGCTATGATGGCGCCTCAAACATGAGTGGAAGAATTAATGGAGTGCAGGCTTTGATTAGAGCGGAGGCGCCAAAGGCAGCTTTTATTTGGTGCTATTGTCATCGATTAAATTTAATAGTTGTTCAATTATGCCAATCAGTAAAAGAGCTGCGAAATGTCTTGGGAATATTAGACGAAATTTACTTATAATTTAATGGTGTTAAAAGATATGAAGTGCTCAAAACATGTCAGAGTAATTTACTGACAAAATCATAGATTTTTACGCATCAAGAATACCACTCGGTAATATTTTTTAATTGTTTCGATATATAATGTTTATTTTATATTTATAGAAGCTGGCTAACATCATATAAGGCGATTGTAAATTTTTTCCTACATGCTTTGAGTGGCAAAAAGGATTTTGAAGATCCTGCCACTTCCACTATGGCTAGTGCTATAGTCTATAGAATAGAAAAATTTTATTTTATTTTATCACTATGTGTTTTGGATAAAATATTGTTGATAACAAGCTTGGCTTGTACAAAATTGCAAACCATTTCGAAGGATATAGGGTTTGCAATAAATTAAATTCAATTGACAAAAGATTGCTTGATTAATATGAGAAGTATAATTTAAATTATTATCTTTTATTATTTTATAATCCTAAAATAGATAATAACACTGAATTTTTGGATGTCTTTTCAAAGGCCCAAGATTTTATGAAGAAGAGAAATTTACCTTTTGATTTTGAAAGTTCAAGACTTCAAACATTACAATCCAAAAAGGAGAGGTATATATATATACTTTCATCATTAAATATAATATTTTATTTTAGCTTTAAAATCAGTGTGTTTTATGCTGCACTTGATTTAATTATTATGCAGTTTAGTGAAAGATTTAACGATGAATCGATAAAATTTTTGAGTCAAACATCATTTTTTACCCCAAAGGGAATGGCGGAAAAGGCAATTGTTAAAGATGATATCAAGGATATCTGTGAATTTTATCAATTAAATACAAGTCAAGTTTTTGAGGAAATGTTGATGTTTAGAAATATTTATAAAATGGCTAAAACGGGGGACGTAATTATTATTCGTGACCTAGAGGTTAAAGAAGATTCTGAGAATTGTAAATTTATTTAATTAAAATATTTTTACTAATACATTATTTAGCTTCTTCTGATGATGATAATAATTCTGAGATGAATGATTCAGACTAGAGAAACTATTCATTTATATTACCTTATCGTCTGCTTATAAATTTTTCTGCTTTCCCAAATTTAACAATTTTATATAAATATTTATTAACTATTCCTACTACATCACGTACTGCCGAAAGGGTCATGAGTAAAATTAAACTAATTAAAACAAGACTTCGTAGTGTCATGAAAGATCCATTTCTTAATAATTTAACCATTTTATCAATGGAAAATAATTTATTTAAACAATTAAATATTGATGAAATTATAAATTCTTTTGCTTTCTCTTCCCCTAATTTATCTAAATTATTAATTTAAAAATAATATTTTAAAGCATATATTTTTTACATTATATTTATATTATAATAAATATTGATGCAATAAAAATTATTTTTGAAATTTATTGGTGTCAAAAAATAATTTACAATGGGGGGGGGGGGGGTACTTTAGGGGGGTATTCTGCTTCTATCCCTCAAAAAGTGTAGGGGTCACTGTGTGTATCACAGGTTTGAATTTCTATAACCTTATTTTAATGCTATACGATTGGTATAGATTTAATATCCTCCTATTCAATCATCTTATTCTATTATAATTATATTTGTGCATGTTTTGAAAGTATTCTTTATTAAAATACTACATACTAGCTAAATTTTAAACAATGTTGTCTACCTACAACTTTAGAGTTAAAAATATGTGTATGTAATAGAGTATTATAAAAGAATCAACTCATTATTATTGAAGCAGAAAGCGGAACTTATAAAACACTGCTATATCTACTTCTTTCTTCTACCTTTGTTAACTAAATGGAGGTACTGTCCTTCTTTAATAAAATAAAGTGAATAAATGTTTCAACTTATTTGTAGAGATTTTAAGGATCGAGTTGGACAAGAATTAAATTTATTTAAGTAATAAATTAATGATGGTTATCACATTTTATAAGTATATATATCTTTCAGTAAAAGTTAATTGAATATAATAAAACATTTAAATATTATTCTAAATAAATTTTATGATGAGAATGTTTAAAGAAAAAGTCACCATTCATTCACTAAAATGGTGTGCGAGGATTTAAAAATTAACATAGGTAAAAAAAAATTCATATACTAATAATATAGTAAATTTAAAGATATACAGCAAGAAGCTACGATTAATTTCATTAAGAAAGAATTTGACAGGGTTTTTGAAATTATTAGAGATGAATTGACTGTTTCTTACGATAAAACTTGCTTAGCTGATGCTTCTGATTGGTTTAAAAAGGTGACCTTTTGATTGGAATATTAGATCATAATATTTTTATAGGTTCTAAATTATAATATACCAGATGGTAAAAAGAATAGGGGTCTGTCTGTTGTATATTCTTATATTTTAATGAAGAATGAGATAAAATTTGAGGATAAACATTTAAAAGGTGCTATGATTTTAGGATGGTGTGTTGAACTAGTATTTATTATAAAAAACTTAGTTTATCATTTTATTTAGCTTCAAGCTTTTTTTCTTGTAGCAGATGATATAATGGATAACTCAATCACTAGAAGGGGGAGATTATGTTGGTATCAGAATGTTTACCGAAATTCATTTTCAAATTTTACTTAATATTTTTAGGAACATGTAGGAAACATTGCCATTAATGACTCATTATTTATGGAATCATCAATATTTTCATTATTAAGGAAACATTTTCGATCTGAAACTTTTTATACAGATATTCTAGAACTTTTTTTGGAAGTTTAATTATTTGATATCAATCATAATAATTTAATTATTTAGACTATAAATCATACAATCTATGGTCAAAGTTTAGATGTATTAACCCCAATTAATAAAAATTTCTTGAATTTTACACTAGATAGATATGAAGCAATAGTCAAATATAAAACTACTTATTATTCCTTTTACTTACCTATCATATTGGCTTTTCATTTAGTAATTTTTTAATAATTTATTAGCTTTTATATGAATGTTAATATCTAGGCAGGATTATACAATGATCAAAACAAAGTCATGGCAAAAAAGATTTTATACTACATGGGTTACTATTTTCAAGTTCAAGTAATAAATTCTGATATTAAATCTAAGATACTTAATCTCTACTATGTATTTTCTATATCCTGTTGCATATTGGCCATGGATGATTTTGTCTATTAAAGTTTTATTAATTAGTGTAAGAAAATGTATATTTTTTACTATTGATAATTTACATTGATTTTTATTTAATAATTTTTGGGATCTACTTTTATACTATTAACTGTCAGATATTAAATTTTAAAGATTTCCACATTTTCTTTTAACACTTCTTTGAGATTTACTGGGAGGATTTAATTGAGTAAGATTCCATGACAGAAATGCCATTGGCAAATAATAAAATGTTCTTATAGGCAGTTATTTCTGCAGATCACAATTTACAAGGATATATTTAAAAAATTGACTTTGCTTGTAAAAATGTAGAAATCATTTTAAATATCCTCTATTGGGCCAAAAATAATCATTAAAAAAGCTTAATTGCAAGTTACCTTTAAGAATTTAGTGAAAAAGGCACAAATACCCAATAAGTTCTACCATTACTTTTATCTTCGTCCATCTAGATCTTAAATATTTAACCCAGACTAAATTATGTGATATCTTCAGTTAATCCTTATTCAGCAATAATTCCAGATTTCTATCTTGGTTTCCCTTCAAAGATGGTCAAATTTTGAAATAGGAGTTTTGCTCTCAAATATTATATTACTAGAATTCTTTTAATTTAATGTTTTAATGAATAAATAATATATACCTAAAGTGAATATCGAATAACAAAATTATATGAATCAAATACGAATATGGAAGATATATTCTATGAATAATTTTTTATCCATTATTTGATCAAATTCTAACAAATAATTTGTATAATTAGAATTCATAATCAAAATTAATGTAAATATTCAAAACTATTCCTACAATATTAAAGCTTATTCATAGATATTTTAAATTATTTAACATATTCCTTATTAGGGGTGTACCTATACCACTTTTTTGAGGCCGATCTGATATTCCCATTATTAAATTGATATCAGACGATTACCGATCCAATATCATATTTAATTTTGTATTCTGTATATCAATGGTTATAATTTTTAGTATACTATATATAATTTAACTATACCATAACTTATGTCATTTAAATATATTACAATGATCAGTTATAGTATTGCAATTCTAAAAGTATATAATATATTTTTATTGTTAAATCACTTTTATATAATAAGCAATAACATTAATATATATCAAAGATTTCTTTTTAGAAATACCAAAATTTCCAATTTATCAGAGGTCAGTCTGCGGTGATGGTAACTGTCAATATCACCAGCTTCGCTTAAAACAGATTCTAAAGAGATTATCGCACGTTTTTATAAACAGAATGCACAAAATAAATAAAGACATGGCAGAATGTTTATTAATTAATTATTATTATTAAAAAAAAATACACATAGAAATGGATTTCATTTTATTTATAAAAATAAATGATTTTAGAATTTTAAAAATTTTATAACATTGTATTTTTGTTTTAGACGCCATTTTATATCAGATGGGATCGGAAAATTTTGTAATATTGGCCGATAACCTATATTTTTAAATGGGTCAAATATCTACCCATATGATCCTATAAAAAATATCGGTACATCCCTATTCCTTGTGGAACATTTTGTTTGTTTTTTTTAAACTATATTTCCAAATCTATAAATGACTTTTTAAATTTTAATAAATCTAATTTTTCTAGAATTTGAATAAAAAATTAATATCATTTTGAGCAAATATCCTTGAAGATATTTTTAAAGAAGAAAGAATTTTGATCAAATTTTACCTTAAAATTCCGAATATATTTAGGAAAAATCTTTTATGAATTAATCTTTTTTTTAAAAATAATTTTCATATGCATAATAAATTTTTCAAAATGAAATCACATATAGAATCCAATTTTTGAATCGAATATTCAATGAATAAAAATCGAATGATGTTTTTAGGTATATTTAAAAAAAAGTAACGGACAATCTTCAAACATAGAAATATATATAAAGTATCGGATACATTTTTTGGGGTGTTATTGTATCTAAACTTTTACCGACTAAGTCGATTTTTCCTATACGTATATTTTACTCGTGATGTATTTTATATTTTAGGTTTTAGATTATGCGTAAAAGAAATGTTAATTTGGGAATAATTTTTATCTTCAACGATAACACAGCTATCATCGATCGAATTCCAAACTCCCTTGGAATGACGTGAAAAACATTTTAATTTTTGGCAAAACAAAAGAAATTTGTGGGCATAAACCTTCCACCTCAAAATACTCAATAAAATTATTCTATAGAGATAAATATCCATTTTCAATGCCCATCCAATTTCTTGAGCATTTACTCTCCTCTAGGGTGACATGTTCCTTTTTTTTAAAAAAAAAGTTTAAATTTTATATATATTATATAATTTTTATTTAATTATATATATTTTAATTTTTATTTAATAATATATATTATTATTATTTTTTAAAATTATGTGAAATTAAAAATTAAAATTTTTTTTTAATATATTTTAAAGAAAAAAAAAGTAAAATTTTTTTGTTAAAATTATATGGACTAAAATATTTTAAAAATATTGTTTGAATCGAAGATGGAGATAAAATTGGATCTGCATATCTGGAGGAATATTATTTGTCTCATAATTATAAATTTTCTTTGAAATCTTCATTTAAAAAAAAAAGAAATTACGTTTTCTAATTGTTAGATGATTCGGCAGCCGCAGTGGATGCGTATAACGCGTTTTATCTCGCAAACGCATCTGTGGCAGGTAAATAATCCCATACCAAAGATTGGCGTTTTGACTGAGGCGTAAAGAATGGCACTTCTGGTCTTTTATTGTCGGACATATTTAGTCCTGCTGGTTCTAAGATGGAGGAAATATTGGCTGACAGTAGCGCCTTGTGGATTAGGTCTGATGGATTATTCTACATTTCCTAATTAGAATTTTTTATAAATTCATATTTAATAACTATTTAAATGTTAATTATCAAAAATTTGGGCAAATAATTATGGCAAATTTTTCAATTTAAATAATTAAATCCCGACTCCTTTTTTAAAGTGTGTATTTATATTTCTTAAATACGCATCTTCTCTAGGAATTTGTCTTATAAAGCCATCCCATAAATTTGTTAGTTGACAACTATTAGCTTCTAGATCTATTAATTGTACCCGCTGGCAACTATAAGCTCGGATATAATTATTTGTTACGATTTTCTATATATTTAGTGTATGTTTAACGATTATTAAATCGAATATCTCTAATTATAATATTTTAACCGAGTAGTTTTGTTAAAATAAATAATTATAAGATTCTTTATAGAAAAAATATACTACCGGCATATCGTTAAGGTATATCGTAACTTTGTAAGCATCATTTGCCCTGTCATCATCCTCCAAATTATTCACATCAATGCTAAATAAACTATGTTCCTTTTTATCATTATTTTCCTCCTTTATTTCCTCTATATCGACGGTATTTATATTATTCAAATATCCTGATGGATTATTATTATTGATTCTATATCTATTATTGCATGTCTGACTATTATCACGATTATTATTGTATCTTGGTATGTATCTTGATTCGTTTTGATATCTATAATTATTTTCATTATATTTGTAATTATCATTATTATTATATCTATAATTATTGTATTTATTATTATAATTATTTTTATTGTTTAATCTTATAAAATTATTATACGGTCTCGGCACATTATACCCACTATTATTATAGTTAACTCTAGGATTATAATTATTCCGATATCTTGGCTCGTAATTATTCGCATGTCTTGAATTAAAATTGTTTTGATATCACGGATTAAAATTATTTTGAAAACGAGGATTGAAATTATTCTTTTGATAATTATTTCTTTGATAACTGTCGTATCTAGGCCTCCATTGATTCCAAAGGACGTAATTCCTTTGTGCATCTACTCCTCTATTTCGATCATCGTATTTCATCATTCTTCTATCCGTATCCGCCTGATTGTCCTTCCGCATTTCTATTTGTTTTATCTCGGATGTATCTTCTAGTTTTATATTATCAATTTTATTAATTATTTTGTCATAAGCTTCTTCATCCTCAATCCCCTTTCCTATTTTTATATTTCATGAATATCTAAACTTTCTACATGTGAAATTTTCTGACGTATATCTTTCTAAACTTTCTACACGTGAAATTTTCTGACGTATATCTTTATTGGATGAATATATTTTTATTCTCTTTATTGCTTTATTATAATTACTAAATTTACATTTATTACTCAATAAACATAATCTGGTTACCCAATTACTAAATGTTTCATTTTTTTCTTGTACTACTTCACTGAATTCTTTCAAATACGCTATGTTCGAATTGTCTGGCTGTAAAAGTTTAAATCTCTCGAGTACGATCAATGGTTGCTAAATTCCGTAGGAGTGCATATCGCCTCTAGTCTCATGTAAAGATCATCAGATAACCTCTGCGTAAATGCTTATGCTTTTTCTATATCGGTATATTGTGGATCTTTAAATATATTATCGAATTTTTTTAGAAAAACCTCAACATTATTATTAAATATAGGGCATTCTATTATAGTATTTTTAACTAAAGGTTTCATTATACTTTATTATGTAATATTAATGTTTATAATTATAATTTATCATATATATTGTTTGTGTAAATACAATACGACTATAGTTGATATTTTTATAAGTCTCTTTGATATCTACGAGCCTTGAGTATAACTAATCTTCCAGTCGTGTCGAAGTATTCTTTTCCATTTATCAGTTCATAAGCCACTTGTATGTCATCCATTCTGTCATATCGTATCATAATAATTGTCATAGAATCATGTAACGTATAAGAGAAATCTCTTTTATTATTGTCAAAATATCTTTTTATAATCGTTTCCAAAGGTAATGTTATTATTAATAAGTAAGCTGCCACAAATGGAAAAGAGTACTTTGACACGACTGGAAGATTATTTACACTCAAGGCTAGAAGATATCAAAGAG